TACAAAATGGAGGAAAATAGCTATTTTTTTTAATTAGAAAAGTAATACTGCCCTCACCTCACATCTCATTCTGAAAACATTTATTTGTAAAACCAATACTAACATGGTCCCCTGCTGCATAGTATAGGTGAGCTAGAAATGCTTCCCTAAATTCTTCATGTTGTGTCCATTCTCTAGCTCAGGATGAGAGTCGTTTCTTTTAAATGGCTTATAATTAGTGCTTAGTCTCACTCTGTCCTCCTTTTCTGAATAAGGCCCAGAGGTTAAGCTTGTTTTCTCCCTCCCATTTGAAGACCTTGGCATAGTCTCCCTGTTCATTGTCCTCAGGAGGGACATTGCTAGGAAATGGGCTCTTCTTTTATGCCCAGGACAGGTCTGGTGCTGTGCAAACAGCCACTACAGGAGATAATACCAGTCGCTTCGCTAATAACTTTGAAGGCCAAGGATTGTGCGAGCCTCTTCCCTGATAAAGCGGCACGATTTAATGATATGGTAACTGTGCTTTAGCTATATACTATGTTGTTTTCCACTTGAGACTTGTCTCAACTGGGACCAGGGTTAGCTGACATAAAACTGGGGGGAAATAATAAACTTTAGTGGGCTGATTGGTGCTGTCTGTGTGTGAACTCACAGCGCCGCAGAGTGAAAGGTAATAATGTTGCTCTAATGACTAGGCTTAAAAGCATCATTCTTGGGGAGAAATCTCAAAACTACCAGTTAAAATGAACCCGAAGCTTAGATGAGGAATGAGAAGTGAGATGGATGGAGGAAGATCAGGAAAAACCTGAGTAAAAGAAAATAAATTTAGATCGCTTATCTTTAAGCTAGACTCCGGAGTTGATGTTAAGGCAGGAGGGAAGGGAGAATGTTGTTTTCTATAGTTGGAACTCATAAAAGGCGAGGTAATGGTCTAGAATTAGGCACATTCAGGTGAGGCAAGAGGTAATCTTTGAGCAGGAAGTTACCTGAGTCATACTAATTAGAACTGCTTAAAAATAGGACAACTAAAATACTAGTGGGATTAACCTTTAGAATCACGCTCCTGAGAGAAGAGGAAAAGTCTTTTCCTTGAAGGCCCACCTTCAGGTCGCAGCCCCGTAAGTGCTCTTTAACATGCTTTTGTTCCTTTCAGCTGCCTGCTCTGGTTATCGTGGTGTACTTTCCCTACACAACCTGGCCTCTCCAGTCTCCAGCACCCAAACACATCCTTTTGGTCTTACAGATTGAGCAAATGAATAATTTCTTATAGAAATCAACACTAATAGTGCCAGAATTCATTGTGGCCCAAAACTATCATCATGAGTCTAAATTAATTCTACTTCTAGGTGTCTGTGCTAATGGGTAATTTATCCAAATTGGAGAGCAGTTAGTACACGCATGATGTCATCATCATGAATGGAATGGCCCTGGGATCTTTACAGGAAGAAAAATAGATAGAATCACAGTCACAGTGGTCTGGTATCCCAAATAGAAACCTTCAAAATTTGTGATTCGGATCATATGATGAAGCACAAGAAGTATATATAGATTAGCATGGTCACACTCTATTCCTGGAAAAGGCAAATTAGTGTCGTGGGATATGAAGAAGCAACTGGCACATGCTGCTTGTAAATTACTACACACACACAAAAGACAGATTAGTCAACGTGTTCCAAATCAGTGGCACAGATTTTGAGCTTCTTTTCTTTTCTTTTTATTTAATACAAAGTTTTAATTTTATTTTTATATATCATTTTATTGGGAGCTCTTACAGATATCATGACATTCCATCGTTCAATCACATCAAGCAGTATTATACAATTGCTACCACAGTCAGTTTCAAAACATTTTCTTTCTTCTTGAAATCCTTGGTATCAACTCCCCTTGATCTCCTCCCTCTCCTACCTTTTCCCCCAGGAACCCTTATTTATTTATTTATTTTGCTGTACCTTAAACCATCCAATATATCTACTCACATACAATTCTGTTGTTCACTCCCCTTGATAGGGATTATACAGTCATCAATGCTTCCCATTCTCCACCTTCCCCATCTCTCTTCCCATACCCTCGGGGAACCAGTACTCCTGTTACTGTTTGAAGGGTTATCTATCTTGGCTTTCATATATCAAACAATTCCGTGCAGTGACAGGATCAATACGATGTTTTTAATTGTTAGGTCCTTTAAGCTTTCTATGAGAGAACATGAAGGACCTCACTCCACAAGTTCACTGCCATCAAGTGGAGTATGACACTCAGAAACCGTATGGGGCAGAGTGGGACCTCCACTGTGAGTTTCCGAGATTGTAACTTTTTATGAGAATACCAAGCCTCATTTTTATCCTGCAGAGCAGCTGGTAGTTTCAAACTGTTGACCTCGTCTTTGGCAGCCCAATGCATAACCCGCTACACTGGGAGAGTTGCTAGCAGGACTGAGAAGAAGAACTCAGACTAAATTGGTGGCTATGAAAGGTTGGTTTACTTTAAACTACAACCGCGAATGTGTTTTAGAATCTCCAATTACTTTATTTCCCATAGAAGAGTTTGGGTGCACTTTACGTGCATGCTTTCAATAACACTGGCAATTTATATGTCTTAAACCAATAATCTTAGTAACTGATCAATTATTTTCATTTGCCAGAAATTATTCATTAGAAGCTGTATCAGATCCCACTCCAAAATTGTTTCCACATTCCTTATAGCACTATATATAAGACTATGTGCATGCATGTATGTGCATGGGTATGTACATAAACATACAAACATTACACAACCCCAGGAAAATGCTCTTCCTCATAGTCCCGTTTCTTAATTCAAATATCTGATGTAGTTCTAATTTTTAACTGTTGACTTCTTTCTTCTGGATGCAAGAGATATTAACTAAGTTCAGTATGTCCTTAATTCCCATTTTCTTTCTTTCCTTTTTCTATAAGAGAAGAAATATGAGTTCTGTAAATCAGCTAAGACCTCAATTCTCTTTCATTTTGGATAGCATCTGTGAGTCTCAATGCCTACTTAATAATTTGGCATAATTAAAAATTAATTCACCACAAATGTACTGGTTCATGAGAAGATGATGGTGAATTAGACATATGTGGTTCCTGACCTTTTGAAGTTTCACCTGGAAAAAAACCCACAGATTAATTGCAATTTTCAGGAAGACTCAAAAGAAAATGAACCGAATGCTAAGAAACTACAACAGGCACACCTAAGGAAGGTGACTCAAAGGAGTCATACTTCAAGGAAGCCTGACACATGTAGGAATCAGATACACAGAAGAGGTAGGCTCAGAGCCATTCCGGTGGATAGAACAGCTTATGCAAAGCCCTTGGGCATCAAGAGTGAGTTGAAGCTATTTAGATAGGTAGAAACGGTAAGAATGGACACTATATACTATGGATTTAGATCCCTTTCCCTAGAGGAAACAGGAAAACATCAAACAGATTTAAATAGAGGAAAGAAATATTGAGAATTTACTTTGAAAAACATTATTCCAGCTACATTATGAAAAACAAATGAGGTAGAAACTATGGGACACCATTAGCTGAGACAATTTGGGGTTTGAATGTAGGTTATACTATTTGCAATTCTATCTGTTTAGAAAACTTACAGTCTTTCTAACCCTCAGTATTCTTATCTGTATAATAGATTTGAAGTAGTTATTGTTATATTAGAGTTGCTGGAAGAGTAACAACACTGTAAATATAGAAAGAAGCCTAGCGGTTGTCTCTGGTCCATGCTGGTAGCTGTGGCGTGCATGGTGACTTCCTGAGGGCAGTGACAGCCTGGTGAAGAGGGGAAGATTTATGGTAGAATCCACAGGAATTCCTTTTTACTTTATTTTTTAAATCATTTTATTAGGGGCTCATACAACTCTTATCACAATCCATACATACATCAATTGTGTAAAGCGCATTTGTACATTCATTGCCCTCATCATTCTCAAAACATTTCCTCTCCACTTAAGCCCCCGGCATTAGCTCCTCATTTTTCCCCTTCCTCCCCGTTTCCCCCTCCCTCATGAGCCCTTGATAATTTATAAATTATTATTTTGTCATATCTTGCCCTGTCCGACGTCTCCCTTCACCCACTTTTCTGTTGTCCGTCCCCCAGGGAGGAGGTCACATATAGTTCCTTATAATCGGTTCCCTCTTTCCTACCCACTCTCCCTCTACCCTCCCTGTTTCGCCACCCACACCACTGGTCCTGCAGGGCTCATCTGCCCTGGATTCCCTGTATTTTCAGTTCCTATCTGTACCAGTGTACATCCTCTGGTCTAGCCAGACTTGCAAGGTTGAATTCGAGTCATGGTAGTGGGCGGGAAGGAAACATTTAGGAATTGGAGGAAAGTTATATTTTTCATCGTTGTTACATCGCACCCTGACTGGCTCATCTCCTCCCCAAGACCCCTCTGCAAGAGGATCTCCGGTGGCCTACTAATGGGCTTTGGGTCTCCACTCCACACTCCCCCAATCAAGAAATTCCTTTTTAGTTGGTGTGGAGATGAGTGGAGGACTGCAAGGTTGTCAGAGTAGGAAAATACAGGATATCAGTTAAATTTTCATTTCAGATAGCAATATGTTTTTAGTATGAACAAATATTTCAGGGGTATACCTATAGTAAAAAAATGATTCTGTATCAGTGATAAAAATTTAACTTGTCAATTTTATTTGACAACCCTACCAAGAATGTTTCAAGGTTCTAACTTGATCAACAGGACAGCTAGTGTTGACTTTTGGTAAAAAGGAGGTGACTAAAGGAGGACCAGGGTTTAGTGGACAGATAGAAGAAAGCTTTAACAAAATTGAATTTTAGGTATCGGTGAGAAACTTGTGATGCACATTATTGACTCAATATTTCTTTGATCACAGTCGATATACTATTTAAAACAAATATAGCCACAGTTTTATTCAGCATTATGTAGTGCTACAATACAACATTCTGTTTTTCTATATAAGCAAACTACTATTTTTAAAATAAAAACTGCATCATAAATATATAACTTTTGATTTCTTAATTTCCAGGTTTTTATATTTCTCCAAGCAATGCCACTGGTTGCCTACCATGTTCATGCCATATAACAGGTGCAGTTAATCAAATCTGTGATAGCCTCACTGGTCAGTGTGTTTGCCAAGATACTTCCATTGCCGGGCAAAATTGTGACCATTGCAAGGATCATTATTTTGGATTTGATCATCAGACTGGCAGGTAAGAATTTACAGCTTAGTATTTATATTTGCAAAGCTATTGTATTTGATTTTCGTCAGCTGTGAAGCAGTATGTTCTGTAAACCGTATCCTCTTTAGTTTGTGGATGCATTTTGTTATACTTTGACATATCCACATATAAAGCAGAATGGTAAATTTTGAATATTTCCTTTGGATATTGCTTATAGAATAATCATACCAGGATCTGGGGTGCAGGATTTGTGTAGTAATACTCAGAAGTCCGCAAGGAGATTTTGATATTTTTTAACAAAAGAACGATATGTATGAAAAGAGAAAATTCCACTTTTATCTGTTCTCAATGCTGAAACTTAAGATAAAATCCTTTTCCCTCAGGGGGCTTATGATCCGGATGTGGAGAAAGATAGGCAAAGGGATAGCTGTAGAAATAAATGCACAAACATGCACACAAAGAAAGGTACCTGTTAGCTAATATATGTGTGTATTTTCTTATTCTACATGGCCCCAGAATTTATCGTCGACTTCTTTAATGATTTTATTTTACCCCTTTACATTTCATTTCCTTTTAAATTTCAATTTAAAGATGGGTGAATGCAAAATATTTTTGAGAACAAGGGGGCTCAGAGCAGAGACCCCAAACCCATCTGTAGACAATAGGACATCCCCTCACAGAAGGGTCACAAGGAAGGGATAAGTCATTCAGGGCTCAGTATAGCAGCGATGAAACATACAATATTCCTCTAGTTCCTTAAGGCATCCACACACCCCACTATCATCACCTCAGTCCTGCCTTTCGGTTTAGGCTAGAGAGGATCATGTACATTAATACAGAATCTGAGACAGATAGACCCCTCAGGAACAGAAATGGGAGTAGTGATACCAGGACGATAGGGGAAAGGTGGGGGGAGGAGGGGAGAAAGGGGAAACTGATCTCATTGATGGACTCATTCTTCCCCCACATTTCTGTTGTTCAGCCCCCTGGGGGTGGGGGAATAATGCCATTTCCTTAATGTCCCATGACTTATCCCATTTCCTCCTTTAATTTTTGGTTTCCATTCCACCTTATCCCCAACCTTATGATCTTTGACCTTGGGTCGAGGGTGCCTTTTTTATCATAATTTGATTATTCCAACTAGAATGTGGAGTTCAGTTCCTGACCTGAAAGGTCAAGGCTTGGGGGTCCTACCAGACTTTCTTTTACCATAAAGCTTGGCTTCTTTCATGAGTTTGAGTTGAAATCCACGTTTTCCCTCCCATTCTATGCAGGACCTTCTAACATTATTAATTTCAGAGCATTTGGCACCATCTACTTTTTCTGATCTCAGGTTTGTAGATACTGAAGTTTTCATGGTTCATTAGTTTATTGGGCTCACTATTTCCAAATGTCTTTTGATTTTTATCACTTTTCTTTGCTCTGGGTGTTGAGAGATAAATTGTTTCAGCTGAGGTGGCTGCTGGCCATCATGACTAATGACCAAATTAGAATATTGAGCTTGTTTTTGTGTTTTTCCAGTTGACCTTGGTGTCTCCTGAGATTATGGTCTTTATCCCTCAGGCCTGGAGACTCAGTCTCTCAAAGTGTTTGATTAAGTCTAAGAAGTTTCCATAGCATTCCTGGATCTATTTGTTGCAGAGTTAAAATGGATATATATATGTGTGTGTGTGTGTGCATTATATATATCAGTATATGGATATAAGTCATATATATACATTTCTTATCATATACATAGATGTATACTTCCCTCTCCCTCCCCAATCTGTTCAACCCATGTATCTATCCAAGCATCTACTGATTAGTCATCACTCTGCACTTACAATATACAACAGTATTTATCTTTGTTGCCTATAATTCTTGCAAACATCTCAGTATCTTCCCTTTTGCCCATCTCTTTTTTCCATAATTTCTCTCTTATTGGGTATTCCACTACCCTTCACCAAGTTCATCCTTGTCTACCCTTCAGCCTGTGACTTCCTCATCCCTTCCTCTACCCTATAATCAGAGAAAGAAAGGAACTGCATAAGGAAACTTAAAATAAACCAAAAGAGATATTACATCAATGCAATAATATACCATATTCATGGGTAGGAAGATTTACAATTGTGAGTATGTCAATATTACTCAACACTTTCTGCACATATACAGCAATCCCAATCTAGACTCTAGCATTATTCTTTTAAGAGATGGAAAAACTTGTGATCACCCTTATATCCAAAAGAAAGATATCCAGGAAAGATACAAGCACTACTAATGAAGACCAAAGTAAAAGGTCTCTCCCTTCCCAACCTCAAAACTAAAGTAATGACAATTAAAACAGCCTGGGACTAGTACAAGGAGAGAAACAAAGAGCAATGGAAAAACACTGGGAAACCAGAGGTAAATCCATTCACCTGGTATTTGATAAAGGGCTGAAACACATTAAATGGGGAAGAGATAGTATTTTAACAAATGGTTCTGGGGAAACTGCATATCCATTTGCAGAAAAATGAAATATGTACCCCACACTACATAAAAAAATAGAATAAAGATGGATTAAAGAGAGAAATGTAAAACCAGAATAATAAAGATCATCAATGAAAAAGAGGGAAAGCAAGGATTATTCAGCATAAGGTAAAACACACTAATAGCAAAAGACAAGCTATATGACTGGGACCTCCCCCAAATTAAACCCTTACATGCGTCAAAAAAATTAATTGAAATAGAAAGAAAAGAAACCACACACTAAAAAAAGTGGCAGTGACATATCAGATAAAGTATTAATCTCTAAAATGTACAGGTAACTGCAACATCTCAACAAAAAGGGCAAATAGTCAAATTAAAAATAGGCAGAAGACATGAACAGAAACTTTGCCAAAGAAGGACAGCCACTTCACCAGTGAAGACATTCAGGCAGTCAAAAAGCATGAAGAAAGCATCATGATTATTAGCCATTTGAGATCTGCAAATCAAAATAACAATGAGATACCACATTGCCTCAGCATTAAGATCAAAGTTAAGAAAAATTTTAAAAGGCAAGAGCAGACAGAGAACAACAAATACAGACGTGTGTGGAGAGACTGGAGCCATCATACACTAAAATTATACAGACACTGTCGAATGCAGTGTGACATTTTCTTTCAAAACATAGGAAAACATCATATGATTCAGCAATATCTCTCCTTGTTATATGTCTTAGGTAAAGCTGAGCTGTGGCTTAAATAGATATATACCCATTCATGTTGATCGAGTGCTATTTCCAATAGCATAAGATGGAAATAGCCTACATGCCCAACAACGGAAAGTGGATAAACGTTGGTACATGCACACGATGCTCATGGATAACAATGGACTCTCCAAACACCTGACCACATGGATAGACATGGAAGATATTATTCTGAGGAAAATAAGTTAATTACGAAAGGACAAATATTATATGAGCTCACTATTATAAAAAGTAAAGAACAGGTGTTTACATGCAAAGAAATAAATAACTCATACTAGTTCATTTTGGCTTTGTTTTACATTATTCAAACAACATTTTAGAAAATTTTCAAATATTTTTAAAAATTATTTTTGTATTTTTTACATGCGCATACGCAGATAGTCTTTTTTTTACCCTTGCTCATGCTATTCTACTGTAGAGTTAGCACACAAATACTACTTTGGTAGTCAGAGAGCAAGAGAACATGGTTACTGTTTTCTACAGACTTGAATCACTCAGAATGAATACAGAAAAAAATCATATAGTAAATGTTGAATAAGAATAATTGTTAAGATTTGAATTGTAAAATTGGACCACTATTACCACGACTATGAAGTGGTCAAGCGTTCAGCTGGTAATTGAAAGATTAGTTTGAACAATCTACTAGCTGTTCCTTGGGAGAAAAATGTGACAGATTGTTTACATAAAAATGGCAGCCTTGAAAATCCAAAGTCTCTGATTCTCCCAAACGACCTTTTTGGCCACGGCCTCGTAAGAAGGTGGGGCAGATACTGGTAGGATTCACCTGGGAGTCATTGTGAACAGGATTCCTGGAATGCCTTCCTACTCTGTGGAAAACGAGCCCTCTGAGATGCAGGAGGAGGGATCTTAGGACCAGCAAGTGTGGAGGGTAGGTGGAGTGGAGGGTGGCCTCTGGCCCCCAGGTCCCTGCACAGTGACCCTCCTGGATCCAGAAGACAGCCATAATATCAGAGAATGAGCAGCAGGAGCGAGAGCCTGGAAGAGAGTGGTGCACTTCAGAAACCACGAAACAAGTAAGAGTGAGTACTTTTGTGCAGGAAACTGGCTTGTGGGGTAAGGAGTCTCCAGACACTTAACTGGGGAAGCTGGGCTTGCTGATCCGTAGAAGTGAAGCTGACTGCCCTTGGACTGAGGCTAACTGTAGTAGGGTGCTTCTGGGCACTTAATTTAGGGAGCTGAGTTTGCTGGCCCACAGAGCTTGAGCTGAATGCCTTTAGGTAGAAGTTTCAGCTGAGTGGTATGCCCCTTTGCGCATTTATTAGCAAACCTGAAAGAACTCATAGTGTTTTGATAAATAACTATCGTAAGCATTTTTCACTGGCATTACAACTTGTTAACTTCTTAATAAGCCCTTTAACCAGAAAGTTTGTCTATGGGTTCTGTGTAGCCATTGCAATGGATATTAGTTCCTGGAGAGGTCAACAAGACATCAATTAAGATAAAACAGACTGTGTAAATCCTAACAGAGATAGCCTTGAAAAGAGTGGGGATTGAAGAACACGTCATTGTGTTCTTGTGGATCCTGTACATGGATCAAGAGGCAGTTCTGTGAACAGAACAAGGGAATACGGAATGGTTTAAAATCAAGAAAGGTGGGCATCAGGGTTGAATAATCTCACCATACTTCTTCAAACTGGATGCTGAGTAAATCACCAGAGAAACTGGCTTATAAGAAAAAGCATATGACATCAGGATTGGAGGAAGGCTTTTTGGCAACCTGAGATAGGTGGATGACAAACCTTGCTTGCTAACAGTGACATCTTGCAACAGTTGCTGATAAAGACCAAGGACTGCAGTTTTC